TTGTTGTCCTTCAATCTTAGTTGTGGAGGGCGCACAGCTAGCTCAGCTCCAAGTCCAGTTGCCATCCCACTGCCCATTGGCAGCTCACGGCCGCTCAGCTCAAGGTGCCATGTTCAGTCTTAGTTGCAGAGGGCATAGCCCACCATCCCGTGCGGGAGTCGAACCGGCAACCTTGTTGTTAGGAGCATGTGCTCTCACCAGCTGAGCCACTCAGCCAACCCCCGTGTGCTCATTGTCACTGAGGTGTGATTATTTGTAGGCCCTCTCAGCTGGCAGCAAGGACATTTATGTATGTACTAACCTATGTATATACACATATCTACAAACATTCATATATATGTACTTATAATATGTACATAGAGATGCATATATTATAGATATGCCTATATGCATCTGTATCTATATAAAGGTAAGCATAAGTTCATACTGATGTCTCCAACTCTGATCCATCACCACATAGATCATTTTAGTACCTCCCCTTGCTTGTCTGTCTCTTCCTACTTTGACACTGAGAAATCTGGCTCCCACCCTCTGCCCTCCATTTACTTAATTGTCTAATTCCAGTGCACATGTAAAGTGGTTTCAGAAGTGTCACCCTTACCCTTGTGGAGAATAACGTTTTCAACTAAAGCGCAGTGCTCATATGCGGTTCCGTTTGCCTTTGGTCTTACAGACACCACTCATTTCCAAAGCCACTTAGATCAGCCCCTTTCCCCTAACCCCCTTCAAGGAGATGCTTTTGTACATTTGTAACTCGCATAGATTCTTTGGTCACAGTCCTCATTCCTTCCTGGGACTCCCCAATCTCCTGAAATATTATTTTTAATTCTGCATGTGTTAAAATTCACTCTTTCTGCCATATAGTTCTCTGGGTTTTGACATATGCAGAATGCCACATATCCACTATTACAGCATCACACAAAGTAGTTTCATGGCCCTAAACACCACCTCCCGGCTTCCCTTGGTCAAACACTAACCCCCGCTCTCAAACCCCTGGCGACCACTGATCTGTCACTGTCTTTATAGTTTTGCTTTTTCTGGAATGTCATATAAATGGAATTGCACAGTATGCAGTCTTTTCAGACTGGTTTCTTTCACTTAGCAAAGCAATATGTATTTAAGATTCACTCATTTCTTCCATGGCTTCAAAGCTCTTTCCTCTTTATCATTGAATAGTATTCCATTGTCTGGATGGACCACAGTTTATCCATTCACCTACTGAAGGGCATCTTGGTTGCTTCCACTTTTTGCCATTTAGGAATAAAGCTGCGGTAAACATCTGAGTGCAGTTTTTTGTGTGGACATAAGTTTTCAGCCCCTTTGGGTCTATACCAAGGAGTGGGATTACCAGATCTTATGGTAAGAGTACGTTTAGTTTTGTAAGAAACCACCAAGGGCCGGCTGAGTGGCTCAGTTGGTTAAGAGCTCGCTCAAGAGTTTGAGCTCTGAGCAACAGCGGTTCGANGCTCAAGAGTTTGAGCTCTGAGCAACAGCGGTTCGAATCAGCCCGAGCTGAGCAGCCGTGAGTAACGAGTGTGATTGCTGGATTACATGATGAGAGCATGTTTAGGTTTGTAAGAAACCACCAAAATGAAAAAAAAAAAAAAAAAAAAAAGAAACCACCAAACTGTCTTCTTAAGTGGCTGCGCCAGTTTGCATTCCCACCAGCAACGGATGAAAGTTCCTGTTGCTCCACATCCTCACCAGCATTTGGTGTTATCGGTGTTCCAGATTTTGGCCAGTCTGACAGGTGTGTGGTGGTATCTCCGTGTTTTCATTTGCATTTCCCTCATTTATATGGTATGATATGGAGCCTCTTTTCATTGCCTATTTCCCATCTGTGTATCTTCTTTGGTGACATGTGTGCTCAGATCTTTTGCCAATTTTTAAATTGAGTTACTTGTTTCCTTATTGTTGGGTTTTAAGAGTTCCATGTATATTTTGGATACCAGTCCTTTATCAGATATTTTCAGGAAATGCAAAGATTCCCCTGCCCCCAAGCCTAGGGCTTGTTTTCTCTTTCTCTTAACAGTGTTATTCAAAGAGGGAACATTTAAAATTTTGATACAGCCCAATTTATCATTTTTTTCTTTCATGAAGCACACTTTCCATATTGTATCTAAAAACTCATCATCAAGGCAAAGTAAGACAGATTTTCTACTGTGTTTTCTTCTGGTAGTTTGGCATTTTACATGTAAGTCTATGATCCACTTTCAGTTAATTTTTCTGTAAAGGGTCTCCTGAAAGGATTTTGAAAAGCTCTTTACGAGGCAGCTGGGTGGCTCAGGTGGTTAGAGCGCATGCTCTTAACAACAAGAATGCCGGTTCGACTCCCACATGGGATGGTGGGCTGCGCCCCTGCAACTAGATTGAAAACAGCGACTGGACTTTGAGCTGAGCTGTGCCCTCCACAACTAAGATTGAAGGACAACAACTTGACTTGGAGCTGATGGGTCCTGGAAAAAAAACATTGTTCCTCAATAAAGTTTTTTTTTAAGATTTTTATTGGGGAATTAGCGCTGGGGAATTGGGGGAAGGGGAATAGACAAGTTGCTGTCTTTTTGTTCTTCAGTTTAGTTGTGGAGGACGTTGCTTCACTGGCCCAAGTTGGCACCATCATTGCGCTCTTCCCAGGTGAGGCAGATCAGTCGCCGGCTTCTGGACGGCCGCTCACGGTGGCTGCTGGCCGCTCACGCTGGCTGCTGGCTACACACGGTAGCCCATGGCAACCCACTGCAGCAGGGGCTGCAGCCTACGCCCATCGCCGGCGACTCACGGCAGCCCAGCTCCAGGTTGAGCTGTTGTTCAGCATCTTAGCTGTAGAGGGCAGTATCACTGGCCCTCATATGTGGGATCCGAACTGGGGCCCTTTGGCGTCGCAAGCCAGTTCTTAACCAACGCGCCACTTGGCTGGCCCCTCAATAAACTTTTTTTTTAAAAAAGCTCTTTATCTATCACCACCCAACACAGACACACACACACACACACACACACACACACACACACACACACACACACTTTGAAGTTCACATCTACAATATTTCAGCAGATATTTAAATAGTTGTGAAGGGTGTAATTCTGGTGTATTTTAAATACTGACTTAAAACAAAAATTGTGATATCACTTTTTACACGAGGCCAGTGGCATCGAAATCACCTGGTAAATTGATACCTATGTCCATCTTAAACTCTGTACCAGGCAGAATTTTCTTTCCCAGGCTCACTTTGGAAGTGGACCCTTTTGTTACTGCCTCCACTTTTCATCTGCTTGCCCCTCAGAGAAGTCTCTGTGTGCCATCTTTTTTCACGTGGGCAGTCTTTTGTTACTCCTCCATCGTATTTCTCTGAAACACAAATGTATGTAAGTTACATTTCTTGTTATAACCTGTGACCACAGAGCTCTGATCATGTTTCTTCTGGGATAATCATCAAACAAGCAAGTGAGATGGGCTCCAGTCTGTGTCAAATAGGACTTACTGCCAGCGTGAGGTGGAGCTCACTATCAGTTCCATTCCTCTTTTCTGTTTTTAGGTATAAGTCCTAGGAAACCCTGTTCACAGAGATGAGCAGTTGGGAGTGGGGCCCATGCTGCCAAGTGCTGGGGCTCCTGGAGCCTTCTTGAGTGAACTAGGAGGGGCAATTGAGAAAGGGTGAAGGGACGAGAACCGGAGGAGGCCTTCTCAGACTTACCGATTTTTGGACAGAGTGCATGTGGGAGTTGAGGTCAGGAAAGAGGATTTAAAAAAACTTCTGCCTGTCCCGAGGGCCCTCTTAAAGACTTTGTGTCATGTCAGGAGACCCCCGTGAAGACGGATTCAGCAGGTCACCCCTGGACCCTGCGACTCCTTGGAGTCCCTGCAGCTCTGGCCTGTGTAGACCTGTTCTTGTCAACAGCCAGGACACCCATTCCCCACCCCTGGTGAGGCCTGGACCCCCTGGGGGGGCACCAGAACCAATGGAACTGGTAGGAGGAATCCACTAATTGTTGGATGAAGGATTAAATTTGGTCACCCGGCACTTGTTTCCTGAGCACTTTCCCTGGGCTGGGTCAGCAGAGACACTTTTTGGAAGTGGATGCTCAGGTGAGGGAAAGACACAGGAGATGATTTTGCAGTGATGGTTGTTCTGAAAACAGGGCATGGTGGTGGCGGAGGGACCCAGGAGGCTTGTTTGAAGAGGTGACATTTGAGCTGAGACCTGATGGAGTGAGGGAGAAAGCCAAGCAGATATCTGAGTGAAGAGCATTGCTGGCAGAGAGGCAGCGAGTGCAAAGGCCCTGGGGCAGGTGTGTATTTGTGTGTTTGAGGGCCACGTATGGTATACACCCCATACATGTTGTGTCTGAGGGCCATTTAGGAAGCCAGCGTATGTGGAGTTGGCTGGAGTTGGCTGGAGCTGCTTGAGCAAGTGGGGAAGTGGGTGTAGAGGGGCCAGAGAAGTGATGGGGACGGGGAACTAATCCTACAGAGTCCTTAGGCCACTGTAAGGACTCATGCTTTGGAGTGACATGGAAAACCATGGGAGGGTTTTTAGCCCATGGGTGACATGATCTCAAAGGGAATGTTCTGGCTGCTGGGTGGGGAAGAGACTGGGGTAGGGGTTGTTAAGAGCGGGTTCAGAGGACAGAGGGAGTCCAGTGAGAAGGCTGTGGTTGCCCTCTAGCTGAGTGCTGATGGCAGGGCTGGGCTTGGGAAGGGATGCTGTTTTAGACCAATGGGCCTGGACAGAGCAGAGACCTGAAGGCACACATAGAGCCATGTCAACATGTGCGTGAAGAGACTTCCGGAAGGAGGACACCGGTGGTGCAAAGGCCCTGGGGCCGGCCCAGCCAGGCCACCAGGGGACTGGAGCCGGCAGGAACCCGCATGAAAGACCAAGGAGGGAGGCGGCAGCCAGCGACGGCCGATTGCCTTACAAGGCGCCCTGCAGCGCTGTGGCCACCGCGTGCTCGGCCGCCAGCATTCAGCGGGAGCGCGCGCGGAGGGGGGCGGTGCCGGCCGGGCGCGGGCGGGGGGCTCCGCGCGGCGGCCACCGCGCGAGGCGACGCTGCAGCTTCCGCTCCAGGTCCGCATCAGGCGCTCCAGGGAGCGCGCGCGCGCGCGCGAGGGGCCGTGCGGGGTCCCGGGCCCCGGCCGCCACAGTCCCCGCGCGCCCCAGTGCACACCTGTCACGCCCGGCGCGTCCCCGGCTCACACGCGCGCGGCCCACGCAGCTCCGGACGCGGGAGGCCCAGGCTGCGGAGTTCCTACCGCCCCGTGGCGCCGAGGGGCGGTGCGCCTAGGCAGCCGCGTGGGTGGCCGAGGTGGTGGCAGGCGGCTGTGCGCGGCGGTCGCAGGTGCATCTCCGGCGGGTTGGTGGTGTGTGTGGAGTGTGCCTGTGGGCGCTGGGCCATGAGTGGCAGGTCTAGGCCTGGGGGCGAGGGGGCCCTCAGGGCGCTGTGGATGAGGGTGGGCCTGGAGGTGCCGGGGCGGAGGTGCACGGAGCCTTCTGGAAGGCGGCTGATCGTGACTGACTCGGTTGTGCGGCGACAGAGAGCCGTGTCTGGGGGCTGATCGCCGTCGGGGTGACAGGGTGGGGGGTGCCCGCCCGATCGCGGCCATGTATCTGGGAGGGGGAGGAGTGTATGCGCTGGCCTTGCTGGGTGTTGTCCACCTGGGAGTGCCGACCTGGGCAATGAGGGAGGGGCGAGATGGACCCGGGCTGAGGGAGGGTGTATGGGACCTTTTGGGACCTGTGTCCTGAGTGGGGTTGTTGCTGAGGGTGGCTGAGGCCCTGCGGGCCTGGGGTGGGGGACGGGGCTTCCCCTCACCCAGGGGGCCTCCCTCCACCTCTCCCTTGCCCCCCCCCCAGACATGTTGCTGCTCAAGAAACAGACGGAGGACATCAGCAGTGTCTATGAGATCCGGGAGAAGCTGGGCTCGTGAGTGTGTCAGTGAATGTGTGAGTGTGTATGTTTGAGTGTGTGTCAGGGAATATATGAGTATGTGTGTGTGTGGGGATGGGTGGCATGGGATGGACAGTGCCTCCCCATCTGCTTCAGCTAGGGGGCCCTTCCCTCTCCCCACTTCTGCTCTCTCTCTCTCCTCCTCCTCTTCACCTTTCCCCCTCCCTTCCTGCCTCCCCCTTGTCTTCATCTCTGTGGCAGGGGTGCATTCTCCGAGGTGGTGCTGGCTCAGGAGCGGGGCTCCTCACACCTTGTTGCTCTCAAGTGCATCCCTAAGAAGGCCCTTCGAGGCAAGGAGGCCCTGGTGGAGAATGAAATTGCGGTGCTCCGCAGGTACGCACCTGTCTGTGGCCAGGCTGTTGGCACTCAAGGGCTCAAGGCCTGCAGCAGGCTCACAGTGTCCTGGGGTGGAGCGCCCTGCCTCCTCCGTGTCCCCAGGAAGGCCTGGCCTGGGTCTCTGCTTTGCTGGATTGGGCAGGGGTGGCCTGTCGCGGGGAAGGGGGCAGAGGTGGGAGGAAGCTCTCCTAGGACCTGAGTCCAGTGGGGGCTGCAGCCCCCCATAAGGGCTTTTTTTTGCCATTGCAGGGTCAGCCACCCCAACATCGTGGCCCTGGAGGATGTCCACGAGAGCCCTTCCCACCTCTACCTGGCCATGGAGCTGTGAGGAAGGCAGGGGCGGACTGGGGGCTGGGCGGTGAGTGGGGGTCGAAGGGCCTGGGTCAACTGAGCCTCTGCTCCCCACAGGGTGACAGGGGGTGAGCTATTTGACCGCATCATGGAGCGTGGCTCCTACACAGAGAAGGATGCCAGCCACCTGGTCGGCCAGGTCCTCGGCGCTGTCTCCTACCTACACAGCTTGGGCATCGTGCACCGAGACCTCAAGGTGCCTGCCCTCCTGCCCACCTGCCCGGGCCTTACCCAGCCTCCCTGTGCACCAGGGTCTGGGGGACTTGAGGGAGCCCTGCCCCTGCAGTCTTCCCTGTCTCAGCCCAGGGGGCCACGCCAGGATTGACCTGGCGCTCCCTCTGGCTGCCCGTGTGTCACAGCCTGAAAATCTCCTATATGCCACGCCGTTCGAGGACTCCAAGATCATGGTCTCCGACTTTGGCCTCTCCAAAATCCAGGCTGGCAACATGCTGGGCACTGCCTGTGGGACCCCAGGTTATGTGGGTAAGTGAGGAGGGCTCCCTGAGGCTTGTTGGAGGCCAGGGGGCTGGGGGACCCTGTGGGAGCCGTGGTGCCAGGGGCAGGGCAGGCGGTGGGCCATCCCTGGGGTCAACTAGGCTGAGCCAGGCGGCACTGAAGGCTGGTGTGCGCGTGCGCGGGTGTGCGTCTGTCTGTCTCTGGCCCCCAGCCCCGGAGCTCTTGGAACAGAAACCCTACGGGAAGGCTGTAGATGTGTGGGCCCTGGGTGTCATCTCCTACATTCTGTGAGTGACCACCGGGAAGGCTCTTCTTCTGCCTGCCTGCCCCCTGCTGGGTTGGGGAGGGGTGGACAGCTGGGTGATTCATCTGTGGGTGCCAGGCTGTGTGGGTACCCCCCCTTCTACGACGAGAGCGACCCCGAACTCTTCAGCCAGATCCTGAGGGCCAGCTACGAGTTTGACTCCCCATTTTGGGATGACATCTCAGAATCAGGTGAACTTGAGGCCGGCCCTGAGCTCAAGGAGGGGAGGAGGGAGTGACAACAGGAGTGGGGGTGGGCTGGGCTGACCTGACCTCTCTGTTCCAGCCAAAGACTTCATCCGGCACCTTCTGGAGCGAGACCCCCAGAAGAGATTCACCTGCCAGCAGGCCTTACAGCATCTTTGGTGAGTGGAATTCCCGCCAAGATGTCCTGGGACCAGAGGGATGGACCACACCCTCAGAGACACCCCAACCCCCACTGACTCTCAGCCTCCCCCTAGGATCTCTGGGGATGCGGCCTTTGACAAGGACATCCTGGGCTCAGTCAGTGAGCAGATCCAGAAGAATTTTGCCCGGACCCACTGGAAGGTCAGTGTGGGGCGGGGCCCGTGAACCGGGTCAGTTCAAGGCTGCCCCCTCCCCCACCTGCCCCATCCTTCAGCCTCAAGGGATGGCCTGGGTCGCCAGTGGCCTCTGTGGTCCTCGAAGTGTTGGGGCCAGGGCATGACCTGACACTCCTTTCTCCCTGAAGCGAGCATTCAATGCCACCTCCTTCCTGCGCCACATCCGAAAGCTGGGGCAGAGCCCAGATGGTGAGGAGGCCTCAGAGCGGAAGATGGCCCGCCACAGCCACCCAGGCCTCCGGGCTGGCCAGCCCCCCAAGTGGTGATGCCCAGGTGTGTGTGGGTGGACCCTGCACCCCCTGGGAGGTGGCTCCTTGGTGAGCTTAGATGGTGGAGAGCCCCATGTGGCCAAGAGCAAAGTGGGGTGGGCCCCAGAGAGTAGAGGGCTAAGGGCAGACAGCATAGATGGAAGGAAGGAACCAGGGTTCGGGAAGAGAAGACGGGAGAGGAGCCAGCAGGGGTTGGTGACTTGGGGCATGGCAAGGACCCGCGAGGGGCCCAGTGCCCATTCCCAGTGGGCACTGCTGCTGAGAGCCTTGACTGGGAGCAGGGGTACAGGGCAGGCTGGGGTGCCTCCTGACTGTCCCCCTTCCCTGTGCGCTTCTCTCTCCCCCTCCCCCCTGGCAGATGCTGAGGCCGAGTGCACTGACCCCCCCCCCAGATTCCCTTCCTGTGGACCCTTTCCGTTCCCTCTCCCCATTCTCCATATCCCGGGGCTGGCCTCTGCTGGAGAGTTTGAGATGTGTGGGTGTGGCTCATGATACTAGGGTGGGAGTGGGGCACTCCTCAGGCTCTGCCCTCACCCAGGTGCTGGTGGGGCATGTCCACAGGGGCTCCTCTCCCTTGTTGCTGCCACAACCCCTCTAGAAGCTGAAGAGGCTCCAGGGGCTGTCCCTCCTGCACGATGTTCTGCGCTTTGCTGACTGTGGGTGGTCCAGCTTGTGTCGTGGCCCTCAATCCCCGCTCCTCCAGTTTTCCCCAAATCAATAAAGACAGACAGAGCAATGGGCCAGTGGTGAGCTGGAGGGAGGGGTAAGGGACAGGGATGGGGGACAAGTGTGGAGGGGATGGGTGTCACCTGTGGGAAAGAAACCAAGGACACAGAGCTACTGCCCATGGGACCCCACCACCAGACCTCACCCACTGCCACTCAAACTACTCCCTCCGATCATGGCAGACAAGCTCCGGGTTGTCCAAGAACTTCCTGTTCCTGTCCTACCCCCAAAATGCCAGCAAGAGGCAGACTAGCTGCCAGCTGTGTCACCCTAGAGGTCGGTCTGTCTGTGTGTGGCTCTGAGTGTTAGGCTGCCAGCAGAAGGGGATGGCAGGAGGCCCAATAGGGGCCAAAGTCTCCAGGCCCCCAGGGATGCAATGCAGTGCCCTACTGTGCAGGGCCAGGTTGGGAAGAGCTCACAGGCCAGTTGAGCCTGTAACCTGGAGGGCGACCAGAGTCCCCGGCTGTCTCCTCCAACCTCTCCCCACCCCCTCTTTCTGTAGTGGTGACCACACAGAGCATTTCCAGTGGGATCCTTCCTGTGTAGGAGGCTAGTGTCAGAGGGTGGAGGGGGAGCCCCTTGGCCAGGAGAGGGCGCCACCGTGACCTCAACCCCTGTGCTGTGCTGTGGCTTTGGAAGCCATGGACTCCAGGCCTGGGGGAACCCAGGCTGGTGTGAAGAGTGGCGGCTGGTCCTCTGGTCTGCATGGCCCCTGCCCCTTGAACTTCATTCTGGAGGGGCCCAAGCCTCTCTTGACCCTGCTAGGCCTTTCTCCTGTGCCCATCACGGGGAAACTCCTAGGGCCACTCCTCATCCCCAGCCAGAGCAGAGGGAGCACCCTCAGAATTTTGCATGAGCTGGCCACCCCTTCCTCCCTACTGTGACCCGTGCTGCTGCTGCCCCCTGACAGCTCCCGTCATGAAGTGTGATGGAGAAGAACCTTCTCCTTGTCAACCTTTGGTACCTAAAGAGGGGCAGTGAGACCCAAAGCAGGGCTGGCCTGGGTCTTGGGGGTTGAGGACTGGATCAGGGTTTGGAGTTGGAGCCAGGGGACCTGGTTCCACTGAGGAGAGCAGCCAGTGCACAGCACGCCTCTGGATACCTGGGGACAGACAGGGCCCAGGGTGGGCATGTCCGCCTGCTGGTTCCCAGGCCCATAAGCCCCTCTGTGTCCTTCTCCCAGCATCCATCCACCCCTTCCTGCTCCACATTGCCCCATGCGCACACCCCACAGGCCCCTGAGCCTGGGGCAAGTCTGGAGGGGAGCGGGCAGCTTTCTCCTCTGTCCCCCACGGCCACTTCTGGGTCATCCTTTGCTCCAGGCTTTGGGGTCACAGAATCCAGGGGACCTCAGGCAGCCAGCTCCATGGCCAGGTCTCAACAACTTGGCCTCCTCACCTCCAACCACCCGTCTTATCTTCCCTTAGCCCCACCACTTGGGGCCTTGTCATTATCTCCTGTCCCGCCACCTTGGACATCTTCACCAGTGTCCTTTTGCTGGCTCCCTTTCCCTTCTTTTCAGTTATTCACATTGGACCCTGCGACACCGACTCATTCTTGTTTTGTCTGTCAAATATTGACTGGGCTTCTACTCTGTGCTGGGTGCTGGGCCTGCCACCCAAGGTGCCTTCCCTCGTGGAGGAGGCTGTGTGGTGGACAGGGGGGGGTTACTCCGGGGATAGGAAGGGACTGCGTGGGAAAAGCAGCATGCTGGCTGCTCAGAATGCCCAGAGCAGGAGCGTCCTATCCAGCCCTTCCAGAAGGAATCACACTTGTTCAGAGAGGGCCTGCTCTTCCAGCCCAGGCCTGAGACCAGATCATTGCTGCAGAGTCGGGGCCTCAGCTCCCGCTGCCTTGACACAGGGTGCAGTTTGGCTTCTGGCCAGAAGGCGGCACCATGGTTACATCCATCAGCCACCCTGTTCCTTCAGCACCTGGGGCAGCTGCCCCAAACCATTCCTCTCCCCCACCGCCGCCCCTCTGCCCGAAATCCTGCCCCAGGAAAAGTCCTCACTTGGGAGAGAGGTCCTGCCCTGCCCATCTGGGACCTGGGAGAAAGCGGGACCCCCAGGTCAGGCAGAGGCAGTACCCTTCCTTCATCCCTCTGAGCCCTTCTCATCTGAGGGGGCAGTTTGTGCCAGGAAAGCTTTGGCTTAGCTAGGCTGTGGGATGCAGCCTGGGAGAGAGGACTGGGTCATTCAAAGGCAAGAGATGGGAGGATGGAGAGGGAGCTGGGGGTGGGTGCCGTGAGAGCATTTCCTGCTCAGGGGACAACAGGTGCTCAGGCTGGATGCTGGAGGGACCAGAGCCTGGCAGGGTAAGTGGCGAGCTGCTGGAGGGGTTGTAGTGGAGAGTGCCCTTATCTAGTTCTAGGCAGATGCTGAGCTGGGGAGGCTGGAAAGCTCAGGTGCCATGGCTTGGGAGCAGCATCCAGCAGGCTGACCTTCGTGGGCATAGGGGACCAGAATTGAGGAGGAAGCCTTATGTGTATCCAAGAGGAAATTACATCCCTCCTTCTGGGCCACACAGGGTTGGACATACACTGTCCTGGAGCAAACCTGTCGGTGGCAGGTGTTCCCAAGATGCTCAGCCTGGGGGGAGGGGGTCACACTAGGGTGGGGAATGAAGGAAGGGGGGCCTGGGGTGGCTCATGCATTTCTGGGTGGGTTGTGGAACCATTCGCCAAGAGGGGTTCACCTGGGGTGGGTTTGGGGGAGAGAAAATGGGTTAGTTTTGGACATGGCGAGTTGGAGGTGCCTGAAGGGGAAGTGAAGCAAAACAGACTTGTTTCTCACCCTTATCTGCAAATATGGATTTGTCTAGCTTTGCAGCTGACCCCAAGGAGTAGCTCATTAGGAGCTATTATTGAGGACTAACTGTGTACCAGGCCCTGTTATGGAGAACTTCCCAGGTATTCACTCAAACCTCAATTGGGAGATGGCCACTCTCGTTGTCATTGGCCCCGCTTTACAGCCGGGGAAACTGAGGCATAGAGAAGCCAATTAACTGAGCCAAGGCCACATCACCTTGTGCTCTACCCTGCTGCCTGTCTCCGTGCAAGTAAGGAGGGCTCACTGGGAACATGAGGATTGTGTGCAGAAAAGGATTACAGAAAAGATGGGAGACTTCTTCAGCCTTCTCTGTGTGTGTGCAAACAGTGTGAGGAAGGAGAAAGAATGCTAGGCTGGAGGAACTGCTCTGGATTTGAGTTTGAGTGTCGCAGGTGGTTTTGTCACCTTGAACGGCAGCTGTGCCTCGGCTTCATTTAATTAAACTCTCAGTGACGTGAGAATCTGGGAGGTTTTTTCCACAGTGGCGGAGGTGGGGTGTGGTATCTGCGTCCTAGAAAAGACCCCTGTGGAGTTCAGTGTAATAGATTCACGTGTGCGGGTTACGTAGGGGGCATAACAAGATATGTAGAAAGCCTGTGCTGAGGCAGCTGCAGTAGGGCTGGAAAGATGGCGATCAGCTGTGGTGGACTGAATGGTGGAGAGAGAGTGTGAGGGAATGGAGGATGCCACCCCCCACCGTCCTAGAACGCAGGAGAGAAGCAGGCCTGTTCAGGAGATGAAAGGGCCAAGCCAGGACCCCTGTTTCAACTCTGAGCCGGTTCCGTCCTGCTAGCTCCTTGGTGGGTACGTGGCAGCCATGTTTTTCTACCCAACCCCATCTTCATCCAGGCACCGCTGTCTTCATGGTTGTCTTCTTGGATGGAGTGTTTGGGAAATAACAAACAGCCCAGTTTGGTTGATTGAGGCTGGTTGTGAGAAGTGGCTAGACATCAGCCTGGAAAGTGAACTTTCTCAAGTGGGCACTGGGGAGCCACTTTTGCTTTAAGAGAGTTTGTCAGTATTTTTCAACCCTATCTGTCCCCTCTTGATAAATATAAAAACCTCATCTCCAGATTCCCCTCCCCAGGCCCCACGGAGAGTTTGGGAGTTCCTCTTATGCCAGGGAACCAAGACTGCCTCACATAATGCTCCAAGTAGAGGCCCGATTGCTTTTCTCAGTTTATCCTTATAGTTCTTTCAACTGTTGCTTTATATATTTTCAAGTGAGGTTATTAGGTGCACATGAGCTTAGAATTGCCCTATAGCAAGTTAAATGTTTGATCAAAATGTAGTGACATGTGTTAGTACTGATAATGCTTTTGCCTTATCGGCTACTCTGTCTGATAGTAATATGGGAACTATAACTTTCTTTTGGTTGATATTTGCCTGGTAAATCTCATTCAATCCTTTTTCTTTTCAAACTTCAAATTTGTCTTTTGTTGAGCTATAATTCGCATTCCATAAAATTCACCCTTTGAAAAGTACAATTGATTGTTTTAAGTGTATTTACAAAGTTGTGCAACCATCACCATGATCTAATTACAGAATATTTTCGCCACCCCAAAAGAAACCCCCACACCCATTAAGTGGTCACTCCCCATTTTTCCCATCCGCCACCCTCAGGCACTCACTAATCTTTCCGTTTCTGTACTAATCTCCTTTCCGTTTCTGTGGGTTTGCCTATTTTGATATTTTACATAAATGGAATCATATGATATGTGGTCCTTTGTGTCTGGCTTCTTATACTTTGCCTAACGTTTTCATCCACGTTGTAGCTTGTGTCAGCACTTCACTCCTTTTTATAGCTGAATAACGTTCCATTGCATAGATAGACCACGTTTTGTTTATCCATTCATCCATTGATGGACACTTGGGTAGTTTCCACCTTTTGGCTACTGTGAATCATGCTGCTATGATCGTTTCTGTGCAAGTTTTTGTATGGACATATGTTTTCAAGTGTGTTATTTAATAGAATTCACCAGTAAAGACTTCTGGGCTTGGATTTTCTTTGTGGGAAGATTTTCAATTCTTAACTCAACTTATTTGCTTAAGTCTATGCAAATTTTCTATTTCTTTTAAAGTAAATTTTGGTCATTTGTGTGTTTCTAGGAATTTGTCCATTTCATCCGAACTGTCTAATTTATTGTCATAAACATTGCCTTTATTCAAAACATTGTTT